AATGGGCTGCCCAGGGAGGGGGTGGATTCTCTGTCCCTGGAGGTGTTGAAGGTGAGACTGGATGTGGCATCAGTGCCATGGGCTGGGAACCACGGCGGGGTTGGATCCAGGGTTGGACTGGATGATCTTGGAGGTCTTTCCCAACCCGGCTGGTTCTGTGATTCCCTGATTTCCTTTCATGTCAGGCAGTTACTTTCTCACAGTTTGTGTTCCTGAGTTTCGGTTTCACCCTCTTTCCAGGGCAGGAGGTTTCAGCAGGGCTGTCCTGGGATGTGCACCTGGACCCAAATAATGGGATATATTGGAGTTAAAACAAGAGAGAGGGCCCAGAACCCCTGGAAAGGCTCCAGTGGGGCAGTTCTGAGGGTGGTACCGGGGGCAAGAGTGGTTTTTGGGTTGGAGGTACCCCCTAGATACGGAAATTAGTTAAAGATATAAAAGTGTGCGAGTTCTGTGTGTGGGTGTGAACCTTTGTGCTCCCTGCACCTGAAGGCTTTCCTGGAAGAGCTGCTCTCTCCCTTATCTGTACTAACACCATCTGGGGAGTTTTTTCTCCTGTTTTGGGCGTCCCCCTGACCCCCGTGTGCCCCCAGGCCCCCGTGCTGCAGTACCTGTACTACCTGGCCCAGATCGGCATCGCCATGTCCCCCCTGAGCAACAACAGCCTGTTCCTGAGCTACCACCGCAACCCCCTGCCCGAGTACCTGTCCCGGGGCCTCATGGTGTCCCTGTCCACCGACGACCCCCTGCAGTTCCACTTCACCAAGGTGGGCCTTTGGGGAGGGGGGCACCGGCCACAGACACCCCCGGGGTGGGGCTGGGGGGGCCAGAGGGGGAGGAGGTGGGACCCCCGTCCAGGGGGGTGGGAGGGAGTTGAGGGGGGTCTGGGGGTGGGATCTGAGGGGGTGTCTGGGGGGTGTCCATGGGTGGGTGGAGCTGAGGGGTGTCCATGGGGTGTCCCTGGGTGGTCTCCGAGGGTCCCTGGGTGGTCTCTGAGGAGTCTCTGAGGGTCCCTGGGGTGTCCCTGGGTGGTCTCAGGGTCCCTGGGTTGTCCCTGGGTGGTCTCTGAGGGGTCTCTGAGTGTGGAAGCTCAGCTCCTGTGGGGTGTCAGGGGTGTCCATGGGGTGTCCCCGGGTGGTCTCTGAGGGTCCCTGGGTGGTCTCTGTGGGGTCTCTGAGGGTCCCCATTCCAGGAGCCCCTGATGGAGGAGCACAGCATCGCCACCCAGGTGTGGAAGCTCAGCTCTTGTGGGGTGTCAGGGATCCCTGGGGTGTCCCTGGGTGATCTCTCAGGGTCCCCAGGGTGTCCCTGGGTGGTCTCTGAGGGTCCCTGTTGCAGGAGCCCCTGATGGAGGAGTACAGCATCGCCACCCAGGTGTGGAAGCTCAGCTCCTGTGACATGTGTGAGCTGGCCCGGAACAGCGTCCTCATGAGCGGCTTCTCCCACAAGGTGCTGCCCTTTCCCACGTCCCCCTTCCCGAGTCCCGCATTCCCATCCTCCATCCCTCCATCCCCATCCCCCCCCCATGGTGCCAGGCCCCCCCCTGACCCCGTGGGTGCCCCCTCAGGTGAAGAGTTACTGGCTGGGCCCCAACTACCAGCGGGAGGGGCCGGAGGGGAACGACATCCGCCGGACCAACGTGCCCGACATCCGCGTGGGATATCGCTTCGAGACGCTGTGCCAGGAGCTCACCCTGCTCACCCAGGCGCTGCAGGGGGCCGAGCTGGAGCCCATCCAGGAGGAGGGGGGCATCACCATCGCCCTGGGCACGCACTGAGACCCCCCAGAGACCCCCAGGACCGCCCAGGACCCCGCGGGACCGCCCGACACCCCCAATAGCCCCCAGGGCTCTGCCGCCGTCCCCCCGACCCGGGGCACTGCAGGGGGCAGAGCTGGAGCCCACCCAGGGGAGGGGGGCATCACCATCACCCTGGGCACCCACTGAGACCCCCAGAGACCCACATGAACCCCCCCACGAGACCACCAACCCCCCCAGGGCTCCTCTGCCAGCCCCCCCACCCGCTCCCACCACTGTCCCGGTGCCGCCGAGGGGGACACGGTTTGTTGGGTCCTCACCATTTCTGTCTGGTTTGGGGCATTTTTGGGGTCTTGTTTTGTCATTTTTTGGGGTCTTTTTTGGGTCTTTTTCTGGTTTTTTTAACTGATGTTTCTTTGCTGGGTTGGGCCCTGCCAGGTTTGGTGGCACCAGGAGGTGACATGGGGACAGAGTTTGTTGGATCCTCTCCATTTTGTCTCATTTTGGTCATTTTGGAGGGCTTTTTTTTGGTCTTCTTTTTGTCTTTTCCTGCCTTTTACAACCAGTGTCCCCTCCCTGAGTTTGGTGGCACCAGGAGGTGACACAGGGACAGAGTTTGTTGGGTCTTCTCCATTTTGTCTGGTTTTGGCTTCTCCATTTCGTCTGGTTTTGGTCATTTTTGGGGTCTTTTTTAGTCTTACTCTGGTTTTTAACTGGTGTTTCCTCACTGGGTTGGGTTGGGCCCTGCCAGGTTTGGTGGCACCAGGGGACACAGTTTGTTGGGTCCTCTTTGTTTTGTCTCATTTTGGTCTTTTTTTTGCTCCCTCTTTGGTCTTTTCCTGCCTTTTTTAACCGGTGTCTCCTCGCTGGGTTGGGCCCTGGTGGCACCAGCAGGTGACACGGGGGGGTCCTGCCTTCACCCCCCGTGTTGGGGACACAGTGACAAGTCGGGGGTCCCTGCTGGGGGTGTGGGGGCAGTGTGGGGGTCCCAGCTCCCCCTCCCCCAGCTCCTGATGCTCCTGGACCCCCCACCCCCTCTCCGTCCACTCTCCCCCCCAGGGGATGTGGGGACAAGCCCAGGGGGCTCCTCGGGGACCCCAACCCGGGGTCTCTGCCCCTTCCCACAGGGGGACACGTTGGGGGGCACATGGGGGATGGTGCTGGGGGGGGAACCCTCCTCACCCCCCGGGGCTGAAGGCAAAGGGGACACGGTGACCTGTCCCTGGGCCCCCTTTTCCCAGGATTTGTGGCCCGGATGAGGCTTCTCCCGTCCCTGGGGGGG